CTCAGCATTGTGGACAAGAGTCACCAGTGTGTATTTATGCAAGACTTGCGGTGCCTATATGTTCTTATTGCGAAAGCTGCATGTATCCTATTGTGTTTGCAGTTATTTATTTATTGACTATTACTCTTTTTAGAGCACCCTTCACCCCAGAAGATTCCATCATGTGCATGATTTGCATGCAAGCCCTATATGTTGAGGAGCATGTTATCATCGTTTATGAAAGACACCAATCAAAGTATTTTTTTTATCAGAATTGCAAGGCAGAATCATGGGGAAAGGATACTTGGGACACAACATACAACAATAGATCTGGACTGCTTTGTAGATTGAAGCTTCCCATTAAAAATATAGCCCTTAAACGAGTTATAGATATAGCTGTTTTGGATAGTGTTTGTTTTGTCATCCTCAGTCATTTTCTCCCAGATAGCTTTGGGATCCAGCCAACTGAAGGATGAATGAGTTGAATTAATTGTCGAAAGGGAGCACTCCAAAATGCTGATGTCACTTTCGTAGATGCAACAATCCTGCTTTTATCTTTGGGGGCAGGGTGTGGAAGGATGTCAGCTATTAGAGAGCAAAAGAGGGAAATCAGAGAAAATTGGATGGCTGCAAAAAACAGAGAAACATGTTGTCCATGACGGTTTATAAAGAACATCCTCTCGCCTTATATAATCTGCCAGATGTTGTTAAATTGATTGGAAGAATAAACACCCTCCGACTAGTTCATGAGTCAAGAGATGCGACCATGATTGAAAAAGATCACTTGGCTCTGATGGTGACAGCATTTGGTAGGTCACTGGATACAAGTGACTCAAAGAGATCACGGGGACTAGGAATAAAATGTATAAACAGTTGTGATCTCCCCCACTTCACTTTATTTATTTTTCCCCCATATTTTCTAAAACAACCATTAAAATAATTGTATGCAGTACATCAGACTAAAATGCAAGATGAAAATTAAAATATATATACAAACAAAGCAAAGATAGATTCCTGAATCAGTATTATCTGTACCGTTAATCCAGTTGCTTGGCCCAGAGTCTGTGTCAGAGCTGGGTCATCACTCCTAAAATCCCACATGGTTTAGGACCTAAATACCTCTTAGGTCACCTTCTCCTGCATCAATTTGGCTAGTCCACTGAGATCACCACCCTGAGGTCTTTCTCAGGATGCCTGGGGTCAGGTGATAACAAGAGAAACTTTTCAGCGTTAGCGCCTTGCTTTTGAAATGTCCTCCCTAAGGAGGCTTGCCTGGTACCCTTATTGCTATTATTTAGCTGCCAAGCAAAAACATCACTTTTCTCAGGCTTTTAAGAACCAATAATGCAAATGTTTTTTAATTTTGTGTTAAAATAATTTGAATTATTTTTAAAGCCTGAGAGTTTCTGCATGGTGGAGAAACTGCCACCCTGCGAGGCGAGTAGCATTTCTTCCTTTTTCCTGCTGCAGTCAGGTTTTCAAAAATACAGTACAGTGGTACCTCAGGTTACATACGCTTCAGGTTACATGCGCTTCAGGTTACAGACTCCACTAACCCAGAAATATTACCTCAGGTTAAGAACTTTGCTTCAGGATGAGAAGAGAAATTGCATGATGGCGGTGCAGCAGCAGCAGCAGGAGGCCCCATTAGCTAAAGTGGTGCTTCAGGTTAAGAACAGACCTCCAGAACAAATTAAGTACTTAACCTGAGGTACCACTGTATGTCCCTCCCACTAACTGCAACGGGGGGGGGGGGGGGACACTATGTCAGCTCCAGGGCTGGTGTAGCTCTTGCAGTTGGTCTGGGGAACAAGGATGCGTAGATTTCTGTGAGTCATCGCCTTCCCCAACGTGCCCTTGGAAGACACCACTTCAGGTTCCATCATGGGCAGTGTTTCTACCTGCAGAACAGCAGTGGAGCTTGCTGCCACCACACCAGGGCATTCCTGACATTCCTCCTTTGCACTGAGATCTCCCTCTGCTCATTCATGGAGGAGGTGGCTATCCATGCTTACTAGCTATGATGGTTATCCTCTGCCTCCACAGTTGGAGGCAGGAATGCTTCTTGAATACCAGTTGCAGGAAGCCCAAGAGGGGAGAAGGGCTCTTATGCTCATGTCCTGCTTGCAGGTTTCCCATAGGCATCTGGGTATCTGTGAGAGCAGGAAGCTGGACTTGCTGGACCATTGGCCTGAACTTACATGCTCCTCCTATGTGAGGGAGACCTGTAGGATCCAATGAACCCAATGCCACTCCTTCTAGGTAGTTTAGGATTGCTCTCTTAGACCAGGCACCACCAAACTCAGCCCTCCAGTTGTTTTGGGACTACAATTCCCATCATCCCTGACCACTGGTCCTGTTAGGTAGGGATGATGGGAGTTGTAGTCCCAAAACAGCTGGAGGGTCGAGTTTGGGGATGCCTGTCTTAGACAGATAGCTGAGTGGAAATTGTTTTCTCTCACAAAGGAAACGTGCAGAAAAATCTATCCTCAACCTCCCGCCCCTCCCAATCTGTATATGCATAAACATGGGGCACTGAGAGCAATTAATTACACAATGGTGGAAATCCCGTAGTTACTTCAGTTTATTTTATTCAGCTAGGAAAAATGTACAGGCCACAGCAGAGGTACACAGGAAATGTTTACATTGGTTTTCCCCAAAACACTTGTGTACATTGTAAAGGCTTCTATGGGGTGTGCAAATCTGTGCTGAAGAAGAGGTGAATCTCTAATATAGCAAAGCGCCCTTACTGTTTATTAGTGTAAAGGAAACTGCAGTCTAACAACAATAGGCCCCATGCTGTTCTGAACAAAGCTGCTTGCATTCGATTTTTATATTTTTGCACTGGCTTCCTTTAGGAAGTTATTGAGAGCAGTTTGTATATAGCACATAATGGCCTTCTTCCAATGAGTGCAAAAGGTAAATGAGAAAAATATATTTTGCAGATGATTTTGCAAAGGAAACGGGAAACCTCAAAAGCCCGGAAAGCTGAAGATGCTTTTAATATGGATTTGAGCTTTGCTACATGAAATGTTTCCTATCTTCAGAAAGACTGTTTCCCCACCCCTGTATCAACACCCCCATATTCATATTCATAGATAGGTTAATTGCTTGTGGAAAAAAACAGGATCATTAAGAGAGAGAAAAAACTTTTGAAAAGAATATATGCCATCTAAGCAACCCTTTGTACATGATTAGTTTCGGTTATGGAAATGTGCACTCATAGAGGGTCTTGGTTTTTATGTCTAATCTATGACTTTCCTATGTTGTACACAAAGGATGCCGTTTGGGAACCCAAGCTTGGCTGCTATTGTTTGGTTCCAATTAAAATTCAGTGTATTAAACACAGTTGAGTACATCCATGCATTCATGACACACCATCATCTCCCCTTGAAAGGTCAAATCAAAAGTGTCTCGCAAAGATTCATTAAGATTCAATGTTATTATACTGGAGCTCCATATGATGTTGGATGAATGGGTAACAAAGGCTCATCAGAAACACACCCATAAATACATTTACTGAAACCGACCCACTGGGGACTTTATAGATTCACATACTCACATGCCTCTGCAGTGTGGGACTAGATATGAATTAAAACCAGTTACCTTCCTAGGAAACATATTCCTAGGAAATACAAATGGCTTAAAGCATGCTTACTCAAAAAAATAAGTCCTTCCATGCGCAATGAAATTTACTCCCTAGCAAGTTGTGCTTAGGACTGTAGCCCTAGAACAATGAATCACATGAGTGACTCTACACAACTCAATCCTTATTTCGGACATTGTGACATACCGGTATATTGCGATGTTTCGCTGGCGATATATCATGATGTTGAAAACCAGATATCACCCTAGTCCTAGTCACTGGGTGACTTAGGGGCAGTCTATATTGTTCAGCCTAGTCTACCTCACAGGGTCACTGTGAGGATTAATGGGAGTAGAGGAGAACCATTTACACTAGTTCCTGCTCCACTGGCAGCATCAGCTTTTGGGATGTCAACTGATAAGGGATCAATCAATGTGTACCCCTGGGGGAACCAGCACACCATTAACATAATGTATACAGTGGTACCTCGGGTTACATATGCTTCAGGTTACATATGCTTCAGGTTACAGACTCCGCTAACCCAGAAGTATTACCTCGGGTTAAGAACTTTGCTTCAGGATGAGAACAGAAATTGTGCTCTAGCGGCGCGGCAGCAGCAGGAGGCCCCATTAGCTAAAGTGGTGCTTCAGGTTAAGAACAGTTTCAGGTTAAGAATGGACCTCTGGAACGAATTACGGTAAGTACTTAACCCGAGGTACCACTGTTTTTGATGTTTCTTGAATGTGATGTATGATTCAAGAATCTTGTTATACCGCAAAACAGAACCTTACTGACAACAAAACTCAAGATACAGTAAATGAGCCAAGCTACCTTTCATAGGTTTGCCCAGGGCAACTGCGTGTGGCCATGATGAACAGACGGATTAATTTAGAGCACGATTATTATATAGTCTGCACTTTTGCATGCCACTGTAAGCCTCCTGAAAAGCCAGTGTGGCATAGTGGTTAGAGTGTTGTCCTAAGACCTAGGAGACCAGGGTTCAAATCCCCACTCAGCCTCTAAGTTTGCTGGGTGAGTCTGAGGCCAGTACATTCTCCCTGAGCCTTAGCTACTTCACAAGGTTCTTGTGAGGATAATGGGGAACATTTTTCAGCCTACTAGGGGCCTTATTCCCTTTTTGGGGGAACCTTTCAAGGTCCACATGCTTGTGATGGGTGGAGCCAGAAGCCGAACTGAACGGAGCAACAAACGTGCATTTTACTTCTGTAGAGCAGACTAGTTCTTTATGCACACTCACACTCCCCCCTTGTTTTCCATCCAGGCAAACATGAAGCATTATCAGAGTTCAAGGGCACATTCCAGGCAGGCGAAAACACTTGGGTGCAAAGAACTGCTAATACATTTGCAAAGCTAAGCAGGGTCAGGCATGGCTCCAAACTGGATGGGAGACGGCGTGTTGAGATTCCTGTGTTGCATGGGGTTGGACTAGATGACCCTCGGGGTACCTTCCAACTCTATAATTCTATGATTCTAAGAGCTAGTGAGGGGGGTGAACTGCGGAAAGAGGGTGTGGCTTGCAGAAAGCCCCAAGGAGCCGACAAAGGTGTCTGGGGCTATGCTTGGTCCCAGGGCCTGCAGTTCCCCATCTCTGAGGTACACTAAGCTTCTTCAAGAAAGCTTTAAAAGAAGGGCTCAGAAGAAGGCACAGATAGGTTACTGGAGAGAACTGGAAGCAACAAGATGCACAACTGAGAGGCACAAAGCTACGGATCCTTGCAGAATGGCTTTGTGACTAGCGCAGCTGCCCTCACTATGTTCACAAAGAAGATTGGAGCAAGGTAAGGGACAAGCAAGCCAACAAATAAATGCCATCTCACTTACTATCTCATAGTAACTAATTATAGTCCTAACTAATTATAATGAATTAACTAATTAGTTGCTAGCTTATAACACTAAATTATATGTATATATAAAAAGATCATGACTTCTCGGTCTTTGCCTTGTCCAAGTTCTGCTACAAAGGAGATGAGGGTGGCAAAGGCTCCCCCCCCCTTAGAAAGAAGGGGCCACTTTTTAGTCCAGGCTGAATGGGACGGATGTCTTCAGGAGATGCTTCAAGGGGACTGTCAGTTTTCCAGTTCAGGCCAGCCGGTTATTCCTTAGACTCTGTATTTGGCTTTGCCATGGTTATTGATAACACATATGTGCTGAAACGAAAAGTTTTAACATCACAACCCACAAAGTCAACCAACAGCGTTTATGGAGGAGCCACATTCTGCACTCTGGTTGCTCCAGTGTGCTGTGTCGAGTGACAGAAATAAATCACATTCTCCCACTGACAGAAATAACGCTGCAAGTATGAGTGCTGGAAAAGGTGTTTATCTTATGTAATGGATATTTCCATTCTCCTCAGAGCTGCGTGAAGAGGAGAGGGTGAGCCCAAGGCTTCCCGCAGCTAAACTATGGTTTAGCATTATTCGTGAAGCAAACTATTGTACATGAAGGCAGGCAGGAGAAGGATTAAAAAGCACCATGCGCTGCAGAAGTAGGGTACAAATTTTTACTGTTAGCCACAGAAGAGGAAACCCAGTTCTAGTTTGGCTGGGTTCGAAAGTCATAGTTTATAAAAGTGTTTGTTTTTGTCAGGAGGCAAAGAGCGGGAGACACTTACATTTAGATCTCTGAAGTACTCATTGTAGTCTAAAGCATAGCCCACCACAAATAAATTTGGAATTTCAAATCCATAATCTGGAAGAGAGAGAGGGCAAAATGTCTGTATTGTTAAAAATGCAAACCCTGACACTTCCTTTATGTAATAGTTCACTGACCTGGAAATTGTATACAAGAGCCAAATCCCAGTGACTGTGAGTTTGGGGCTCTGAGATGGGAACACTTTACTGAAGCTGAATCAGAGCTGTCTAGATGTACCCAATTAGGCTATATAAAGGACCACAATTCTGTCTAAAAGGAATCCTGTTAGCTAATATTGAGGGGGCAAAGAAATATAGAGCTTGCTAACTACAGCTCTTACCCAAACAGAAATGTGTCCCCAGGGAAGTTAACTCCCAAATGATTTTTCTGACAGCTTCAAGGAACAATCTGCAGTTGTCTGCAGCTGGGATACAGTTGGACAACGTAGGACTTTGAAGCCACAGTGTGTTGTATCTTGGCCAACAGACATGCTAAGGGCATTTTTTAAAAAAATAGATTTATATACTGTCCTTCATTATAAGATCTCAGATCTCAGAATAAAATGCAGGGTGTTGCAAGGAACACCCGCTGGGCAGCTTTTAAACTTATCTGAAGCTGGTGTTAAACTGCCACAATTTAACCCCAAACACTCTTGGAAACAGAAATGTTGTGAAGGTTTCTTTCTCAGCCTATAAGCAGAGTTGCAAGGTCAAGCTTGTGATTCTTGACAGTGGCACAACTCTGAAATCGGTTTTAAAAGGTGGTCATTTCCCACGCCGTCTCTCATACATGTCTACAATGAAATAGGGACAGTGGAGGGGAAGCTTTTGTCCCTCCACCCCCCAATTGATAGTTCTGATCAAGATGGCACTTCCATTGTTTAGACGCTATTCCTAGCATCACTTTTGAACAACACCCCAAGGACCGGGTGTGTTACGTCTTGCCTATTTAATGAAAACAGGAACAATGGAACATTTTAGCTACTTCACAATCAGGAAGCAAAGAAAATCCACAGGAGAGCACTTACAGTCCGGTCTGTATCCATTAGGCTGAGATGTTCTTTTCACCAGCAAACTATCATTAAATAAATAACAAAAATGTGTGTGTGTTTTTATTGTAAACATTTTTAAAATGGGTTTGTTCACATAACTCCTAAACATTTTGGCTTGGTTGGATGTATTCTTCTGTCCCCGTCTCTCATTTCCTTAAAGCCTGTACAACTTGCAACCCGCTAAGCCTGGTGCCCCTCTAAAATGTTGTTGGACACCAACTCCCAACAGCCTTAGTCAGCCTTGGCCAATGGACAAGGATGATGGGAGTTGTAGTCTAACAACATCTGGAGGGTACCATGTCCTAACATTAAGCTGAACCACAGCCCAACAGCCATATATTATGGCCTCCCAGGTCAGATAATTGTCCATCAAGCTCAATATTATCCACTATTTTGATTATGGTCCTTGCTCAAGAACCAACCCCATTCCCTGTTTTGACACTCCAAAGACAGGTAGCAAAAACAAGAGATACATTGAGCCTCTGATGGGTAACCATGCATGGCTGGTGAGTTCTGTTTAGCTTGGCAAACTCCCCACTTCACCCCAATTTCAGCAGAAGAGTAAATGAGTGCACTTCCCCTCCATCGGAGATGTCTGAAGACTCATCAAGGGCAAACCCAAAAGGATTTCCTTTCTCTTTCCCTTAGCAGCTGAGTCAGCTGCCTCTGCCATCCTCCCATAGATAAAGAGACAAGCTTCTGAGCAGTGGCCTGCACAGTAGCCTCTACATGCTGTTGGGACTACCATTCCCATCATTCCCAACCACTGGCTGTGCTGGCTGTGGTTGATGGGACTAGTAGTCCAAAACATCTGGAGGGCATCATGCTATCAAAGGCTGCTCCACCCAGAGATGTGGTCCCTCCCAAATACTACACTTACCTTGCCACCTTGACCATCTTGGGTTTGCATTTTTCAATTTTGCTGAGCAGAGCTCTCATCGTTCTTCCAGTTCCAATGATATCCTTTGGAAAGCATAGAAGCATAGAGCTGTAGAGTTGGAAGGGACCCCTGAGAGTCATCTAGTCTAACCCCCTGCAAATGAAGGAATCCTGCCCACAGCCCCTGAGTGGGCTCGAACCACCATCCTTCTGGTTAACAGCCAGACGCACAGACCCATTGCACCACAGGAGCACGAAAGGTAAAAGGAGGCTGGTGTGTGTGTGTGTGTGTGTGTGTGTGTGTGTGTGGAGTTAGGGCATTTATTTATTTATTTATAAAAAATATTTATATGCTGTTTACTCATATAAAATATCAAGGTGGTACACAACAATATGTGCAAGTATAATAAAACACCATTAAAGATAATGCAAAATAATTTTCACAGGAAGTTGACAGTGTAGTAAGAAGGAAGAAAGTTTAAACCAGCTAAGCCTTTGTAAGATGGAGGACAACTTAAAGTCTTCCGAATGATCTCAGTGCTCAAGCTGGGATATAAGCCTTAAGGCATCCTGGACCCAAGTTTTTCAGGGTCTTCGTATATTATTAACACAAGAGCCTTGAAACTGACCTGGTTAGCTAATAGCAGAAAAGTTCTGCAACATTAACACCATTTTATTATTTTAATTTCTGGGGGGAGAAGGGGGGAATTAGCCTCTTTTGGGTCTTTTTCATAGTCCAAAAAAAAAAAAAAGTTGTCACAGCCTTTAGCTAAACGGCTTTCGAAAAGCACTAGCAAGGTTTTTGTTGACTTCACGGGATTCTTTGTATATCTGCACCTACATACATTAAGTGGTACAAGACATACTGTACCCAAAAGGACCACCCCCCATTTTAGTCAATCCAAATAGATGAACTTACCTCCACAATTAATACATTCTGAAACACAAACAAACAAGGGGGAGAAAAAGAAATTTGGTTAGGCAGGAGAACAAAGTGAATCGACAGCAAACCACTAGCAGAACGGGAGTCCATGTTCTCTGGGTCTTCTCCAGGAGGAGGAAAAGGGAGATCTGATGATGGAGAGCTGCAAGGGTGGCCCCAGCTAAGCCAACCAACCAAGTACTGGGAGCAAGGAGAGTCCCTGTCCCCAGCAGACAGCAAGGGGACGCTCCCTGCTTCTGGCCTATACCTGCAGCGCTGACCCAGTTCTATCTTTCTTGCAGTGAGAGTTGACATAGTCTCCTACCAGGGAAGGGGAGAGGAAAGAAAATGGGAATAGTTTCATTCCCACCAGCACAGCACACACACTCTGTATGGAGAACGTTGAAGGCCCAACCCCTGGCCTCTCCAGCTAAGAAACAACGTAGCTGGGAAAGCTCCACGGCTGGAAACCTTAGAGCTGTGTCATGAAAGAGCAGCCAACACGTAGGGCTAGGTAGACCAATAGCTCAGTTCAGTATAACTGTTTCATATATAGGTCTGCCAACTGGCAAGCATTAAGAACGATGGTCTGGCAAGTGTGTGTGTGTGTGTGTGTGTTATTTACAGGGATTGGCAGGGGGTGAGAAACCTGTGGCCAACCAGATATTATTGGACTTCAACTCCCCTCCTTCCTGGCCATTGGCCATGCTGACTGGGGCTGATGGGAACTGGAGTTCAACAACATCAGGAGGGCCACAGGTCCATCATCTCTGCCAGCAGGAAGATACACAGCTTTTAGGCAGGGCTCTGCTCCCTGAACCGCCAAATTCTTCTAGACTCTGTCTACGTTCCTGCTCCAATGTAAGCTACCAGGTTCTTGCACATTGTATTTTTGGACTGACAGGCCTTTCCCCAACGAGGTCCACCTGAGATCTTTCACTTTCCTCGGGAAGTTTTCAATAATTTTCAGGGTGCCAGAACACAAGTACTGCTGAACCTGCTGTTATGCTGAGTCTCCATTCGCCTCTTCATCTTCTCAGCCCTTCTCTCATGTAATCTTGGCGGTAAGTCCTAGAAGATCTGCTCCCAGCCTTGCAGGCTTTTCCCATCTGGCTTAGGAGGGTGGGGCCCGGACTGACTCCAGCTGCAGAAGCTGAGACTGCTGAACAGACTCTTGGGTTGAGGAATTGTTTAGAGGTTTGGGGGAGGGGGTGCTGTTATTGATATTATTTTTTTGATGCCTTTATTTTAATCTTATTATGATTTATGTGGAAATTGTTCAATTTGGTTGTGAACTTTTTGAGGTTTCATTTATTGCTTATTAGTAATTTTGTTATGCTTGTAATGATGTACGTTTTTTCATGTTGTAAGCAAGCTTGAACTATGGAAAGGTTGCATACAAATAAAATTAGGTATGTATGTATGCCTGGACTTCTGATCTAACTTTGCACACCTAAACTCTCTTAAAGGAAATGCCTCATCTACAACAGTTCAGTTTTATTTCTGTACTTGCCAAAGGCCATAGCAGGAATGCAAAAATACAATACATTAAGCAATTAATAACGGAACCTGTTATCTTGCAAGTGTTTTACAATGGACAAGAGACAAGCCAACTCAAAATAGCATCACGAGATTTAGATAATGCTAAGGCATAAGTTGCTGAGCAGAGCAATATTCTTGACATCTGTTTGCTAACCCCCCAAAAATCTATCTTTTGAAGGTCTGGCCACTATTTCCTTACTTGACAGCAGCTGGGGAAGAATTTTGTTTCTTATTTGATATGAGAACTGGGCAATTGAAAAGAGAATATACAAAATCCTCAAGATCCTGATGTACTCTGATTAACAATAGGCTTGTATTAGTCTTGCTAGTATGTCTCCAAGCAACTAGCTTCAGAACCTAACTGTGTACTTGAGATCTCCCAAATCCTACTTAAGCAATATTGAATAAATATTTAAATGCATTACTACTGCCTTGGATGAGTGGGCAAAGTTAAGTCTTTGCTATTGCAAATTCTTAGGTGAACCATTTTCATCCCAATGTCTGCAGTTTTCTGAATCCTCCCTGTTTTACTTCTGTGGCTCTCCAGATGTTGGGCCGACAACCTCAACTACCCCTGACCACGGGCTCTGCTGGCTGATGGGAGTTGGTGCCCAACATCTGGAGGCTCCAGGTTACCCACCCCTGCTTGACCCACTCTATATCTCAAATTCAACAGCCCTATAACGCAAGCCAGCAATACCACCTCTATATTACTGGTGGGGGTTTAAGAATGGCTCGTCAATGCGTTCTTCAAATGGTGCAAGCCCCTAAGCTTCTCAAGGCCAGGTAGTATGAGACATCCCTGGAAAGGAAGACCTCACATCACGAACAGTCCCAATGAAACCAGCACACACTTGCAGTGTATGGCATCAGATAATGTAAATTGTGACCTTGGAATGGCACAGTCCAACTTTCCATCGCTAACAGCCACGAACCATCAGCACAAGGGTTATTTTGGTGGATCATCATCTTATCTATCATGCAATATGGAAGTCTTCAATTAACTACAGCTTCATCTCAATCAAGAAAATATGGTTTCCAGCTCCATAACAAACCAGATGTTCATTCTGATGTTATTTAGATCCTTGCTAGTTTTAAACCTGATAATCCTGAAAATGGGAATCTATGGCTAACTCCTCCCTGGTTTAACTGCAGCATCCCAGGAAAGGCAGAAGGGTCTGTGATCATACGTACAAGTTTATTCAATTCAGTATCTTGGCTCGTTAAACCGAGATAGGATCATTTGAATTAGGTCATTACCTTCCAAACCTGTTTACATGCTACTGATGTGACTTACACGGTGAAATGTGACCTGTAATTAGCTGCAAATACTCAAGCCATGAGATAATAATACTGCAATATTAGCAAATGGGGGAGGATTAGCTAATGAAATATTTCTAAAGAGAAACAAAAAACTGTAGAGTTGGAAAGGACCACAAGGGTAGAGGCATTAATACATAGCAGTGAATACTTCAGAAGTGGTTTTCTGTCTTCCAGATGGCCAGACATATATTTTCTATTTGCTTCAAGCTTCTTTCCACAGGAAATCAACCTGCAGCCAATGACAGGCTCATGTGCAGCTGGTGATAATTCTTCTGCCATGTTGATAAACTAGAACTCTATTTCGGTAGTCCTGTAATAAATCTAATAACATGGCGCGTCCACGCTGTAAAGTTACACAATCTTAACTCGCCTGCCTTAACAGGTTTTACAGCAGATCGCTGCTGTTGACTTTGGTGAAAGAATTATATCCAAAGTCCTCTTCTCAACTCCACCCTGATGCCTGGCGTAGGCACCACTTGTTGGGACTCCTTGGGCTCCAAATGCCAGAAATCCTTGCAAAAGGAGGCTGGAAGGTCCTGCTCTTGGCCAAGCTTACAAGCAGTTCCTTGCTGGAGCACAGGAAAATGGTCTGATTCAGACATAACAACAAACCATGGTTTGGTACGGCAAGAACAAGAAGTGCAAGGTAAAGCCTCTGGCTGCAACTTGTAACATGAAGGGCTGCCTTCTTCCATACAAGCCGCCTTGGATGTTGAGAAGCAGCAGCTTGTGGGGAGCGGGCAGCTGTAATGCTGGTTCTCCAGAAAGTGGATCACTGATGCTTACCAGGAGGGAGAGAGAGAAGGATGAGGCATCAGAGAGATCAGGGCAGTACAAATTGAATTATTCTGCAGAGGTCCTTTTCTCTGTCCCAACAACTTCTGATGCATGTTTGGTGGGAACTCGAGAAAGCGCCTTCTTAGTAGCTGCAAACCAACACTTTAGGAGACCAGGCTTTGTAATCATGAAGAGTGAACACCAACCATCTCTGTGTTAATCATTATATGGTATTAATTGTGCCCGCATCTGAACCTTACAAATCTAGTTTTGCATTTACCTAGAGGGGTGTTACTCTAATACTGCTTCATGAACAGCAAATCTGCTTGTGCTAGATTTGTGCCTGTTAAATGTAACTGGTTGCAACTTCTTTTTCCCCAAATCATTCAATATTTGCACAATAGACAGAAATCTCTTTTCTATTGTGGCATCTCTACCCTCGGAAAAGATGCACCCATTGAATTTTTATCTACCATTAAACTGTTAAATGTGCAGGGTGCTGGTGGGCAAAAAGTGGTAGTCCTACCTATATCTGAGAAGGCTATGTCGTTGAGGCTATAAGATATATCCAAGAAGGCTGTGGTGTTGAAGCTGGGGGCTAGCAAAATGAGAATATTTCCCTTTCTATAAGGACAATGAAGGAGCAGAACTGACTTATTCATAATACAATACCAAGGCAATGGAACTGGAGTTGTTGCAGTTCCCGACATCCAAACTGTGGCCAGGGATCAGGCAGTTCAGCCATAACCATTTAATGGAGGATATACTTTCAATAAGATTAATATATATATGTTTATAAAGTAATCAAGAGTGGCACCATGGAAAATATACTGGCTTTGCTCCAGCCGAAGTTAGTTGCACTTTTCCCAATGAAATCTATCTGCAAACTTCAGTAGGACCCAAGTGTGACTAACTTAAGTCAGGATTGATCATAACATGTACAGCTGTAAACATGTACAACCACAGGCTCTCAAAGCCAATTTTATATACATAAATTAATCTGTGATGTGACAGCAGTATGTTTTGGGGAAATGGTTGTGGAGGTTATCAGTATAATATTTAAGCTGCAATGTACACCTAAATCTTCCTTATATTGACTTTAATTACACTGAAAGCAAATCACCAATAAGGTTTCATGCAGCAGCACCTTATCAGTGAACATCAGGAAAATAGTCTGAAACTGAACACAGATAAAAGGGCAGTGAATAGCTGGATAACGTTTGAGATTTGATAGCTTTTGTGTAATCAGCCGTGTACCAAAAACCAGGCTCAAAATAAAGCTTTGGAACTATGAGTCTGGTAATGAGCAATATAACCAACTTACAGAATACAACCAAAATTGTTTTTGCCAAATGGATTTCATTTACAATTGT